TCACCATTACAAAGATCAACTGGTTAACGTTGTTTAAGGAAATAATCGCTGTTTATACTGAGAATCATACAACGTAAATAAAATAAAATTTAACAGTTACTGACTGTTGAAGCAGGTGGTAAATATAGTTACCACTGGGCTTCAATGTGCTCATATCGAACACGACAGGATGCTGTATTACAGAATAGGAGGGCAGTCTGTAACATCCACAAACTCCGAATGAAAAACCATGAGACGCGGGACACTAAAATATGAGAAAATTAATAAGAGGTATGAGTTAGAGAAAAAGAACAGAACGAGAAGGAAAGAGCTACAGGAGAATAGGAAGATGACGGAAGATGGAGACTGCAGAATTTTTTTTATGGAAGTCACGTATGGGACTACATAATTTTCAGAAAACCGTCACTGGCGATCAGTGTCTGAAAAGCGCAAAATCAGTTCTGAAATTTCTGCGGCAATAACTGAGACTACCTGTCTCGTCGGCGCATTTTTGGAACGGGGCGACCGGACGAAGCGAAAGCCTGGCGTGGAATGCACGTAACGAGATACCGAAGTACCTTATTCCGGATAAAAATACAAACAAATGTGTATTAATAGCGGAAGTGACGTTGAATGACAGGCAGGACTGGTACTGCGCTACGCTTGGCCGGAAACGACGCCCTAGCATCGGACACAAACGGTGCCTCTGAAAGTGACGACCCATCAGAAATCATCAAGACTTCACGCAATCTTGCGGGCACAAGGCGCCCTAAAACGTTTAAATAATTCCACGGAACAGAAAAAATTCTTCGACTCTTGTCTTATTTATAGTTGTTTAACGACGCTTTATCAGTAGCTCAGTCTGCATACCATTAAGGATGAAGAATAATGAATTGGAAAGGGTGTGGAAGACAGCGGTCGTGGCTTAACTTAAGCTACTATCCCGGCATTTGCCTGGAGGGATTGGGGAAAAACCACGAAAACACCCATCAGGATAGCCCGTCTCAGAGCCGAAGTTTAAACCAGGGACGAAGCAGGAGTATTAACCACTCGACGTTCGACTCTTATGAAATCCGTAAGTTCGTCATTGTTCTCACAATTCCCCGTCACTGATCAAATCAGTCCACACCCTCACATTCTACTTCCCCAAGATCCATCTTAATGTTATCCTCCCATCTACGCCAACATGGCGCCTACCAGCACACAAAGAAAAAGTT